CAGTTGTCTAGAAAACTGAAACTGAAAATAGTTGACGCTCACAAAGCTGGAGAAGGCTATAAGAAGATAGCAAAGCGTTTTCAGATGTCAATATCCTCTGTTCGGAATGTAATTAAGAAATGGCAGTCATCAGGAACAGTGGAAGTTAAAGCAACATCTGGAAGACCAAGAAAAATATCAGACAGAACAGCTCGCAGGATTGTGAGAAAAACAATTCAAAACCCACGTTTGACTGCACGATCCCTCCAGAAAGATCTGGCAGACACTGGAGTTGTGGTACACTATTCCACTATAAAAAGAGATACTTGTACAAATATGGTCTTCATGGAAGAGTCATCAGAAGAAAACCTCTTCTACGTCCTCACCACAAAAAAAATCATCGTTTGAACTTTGCAAATGAACATATAGACAAGCCTGATGCATTTTGGAAACAAGTTCTGTGGACCGATGAGGTTAAAATTGAACTTTTTGGCTGGAATGAGCAAAGGTACGTTTGGAGAAGAAGGGGCACAGAATTTAATGAAAAGAACCTCTGTCCAACTCATCTGGGGTTGGATCAATCATGCTACTCACGAGTAGAAGGAAAAATGGATTCAATAAAATTTCAGCAAATTTTGGATGGTAACTTGATGCCATCTGTGAAAAAGCTGAAGTTAAAGAGAGGGATGGCTTCTACAAATGGATAATGATCCTAAAAACACCTCAAAATCCACGGGGGATTACATCAAGAGGCGTAAAACTGAAGGTTTTGCCATGGCCTTCACAATCTCCTGACCTCAACATAATTGAAAATCTATGGATAGACCTTAAAAGAGCAGTGCGTGACAGACAGCCCAGAAATCTCAAAGAACTGGAAGACTTTTGTAAGGACGAATGGGCAAAGATACCTCAAACAAGAATTGAAAGACTCTTGGCTGGCTACAAAAAGCGTTTACAAGCTGTGATACTTGCCAAAGGGGGCAGTACAAGATATTAACTCTGCAGGGTGCCCAAACTTTTGCAGACGCATTTTTTTGTTTTCTGTTATTTTGAAAGTGTAAATGATGGAAATAAAATCTAACTTTTGTTGACATATTATAAGAATGTCTAATCTGTAATTTGATGCCTTTTGGAGATTTTTCCATCTTTCCTTGGCTTCTTTATGCACATTAATACAAATTTTTTAGCTGGGGTGCCCAAACTTTTGATCCCCACTGTATATCTCAGATGATCTGAAACACACTGTGGTATATAGCACTAAACAGAGAAGATAACCAATACATCAGGTGAAATTGATAATAATGTCCAAACAAGTTGTAGCAGGATCCTGCGTAGAAGCCAAAAAACACCTCATAGTGTAGTAGGTAAAATCAAAGAATTTTTATTTCAAAAATAGTGGATAAAACAGGGCAGAAACACAAAACATCCCCTCTGATGATGTGCAGTGGCACGAAAGGCCTTAGGAGGAGCCAACAGAGCGTGACATCTTAGCCGCCTGGAGCCACGAGGAGGCCCGGGCGGCCATCTTACTTTTGGGTCAGTCACACTTTATTTTATCATTCACTGTTTGAGTGTTTCTGCCCTGTTTTATCCACTATTTTTGAAATAAATTCTTTGATTTTACCTACTACACTATGAGGTGTTTTTTGGCTCCTATTGGAGCTAATAAATTTTAGGACATCCTATTACTCACCTTTACCACCGGAGGGAGTTCCTTACTCATAAATCCACCCAGCCTTAAGGGGATTCCTGGACCTGGAGGCTGCCTACTACACCAGGATTATCTGCTCCAGGATGGTTATCTATCTTCTCCGCTAGATGAGGGATTTCCAGGGGTCATACCACATATTCCAGGGGTCATACAACATATGCGCTTGTCCATAGCGCGTCCGGTGAGTGCGCAATTTTACTATTTGATCCTGGCATATTAAGCTTCTACGCAGGATCCTGCTACAACTTGTTTGGACATTATTATCAATTTCACCTGATGTATTGGTTATCTTCTCTGTTTAGTGCTATATACCACAGTGTGTTTCAGATCATCTGAGATATATATGTGTCCATAGATCTCATATTTACTAGCGCTGCACTTTTTATTTATGTGTATTTTTGAAGGTTTTGCTGAGATTACCTTGGGTGCATTGGCTGCTGACGGGAGAGCGCTCACTTTTTTATTTTTTATTTTTTAGTGTGAACACAGCGTCATGCACCATGCTGAGCACATAAGCACTGTTAATTACTGGACTTATTCTATTTTGCTTTTTTAAAGTATCTAATTTATACATCAGGTCTCGGGGTTTGATTTTTGATATAATAGCCCAGCACATTATATACTGATGTTTATTGAAGGTTCTGTGTCTCTTCACCTCGTGCTAGCTGCCTCTTTTTCAAACAGGATTTGTTTACTGTTATTATACATCCCATCTTTGAGTTTTATTTTTGATAATAGAGCTGCACATTATATAATGAGGTAGAAGAGAAGCCTGAGGGGTGGAGCTGGGAATAGCAGGGTGACCTGAGACAGTGTCTATGGACACACACAGCCCAGATTGGGAGCTTGCCTGCATGGGTACCCCCTTAGCACACGGCTCGCTGAGGGGGCATAAAGAGAAGAGAAAGAGCATATACTGAGGCAGAATAAAAGCCTGAGGGGTGCAGCTGGGAATAGGAGGATGATCTGAGCGAGTGTCTATGGACACACACAGAACGGCTCGGGAGCTTGCCTGCATGGGTACCCCCTTAGCACCCCCTTTGCTGAGAAGGCACCCAGAGAAGAGAAGGAGCAGGGAACACTGGTAGGGGACCCCAGAAGAGGAGATAAAAGACTGCTCTCTGTAATATCCTTGCACAGAGCAAGTAAGTATAACTTATCTTCTTTTATTTCAAGATAAAAAACAAAACTTTAGTATCACTTTAATGTTGAAAAGGCTGCTGACCTCTAATATGAGCTTCAGTACAACTAAGGTAGTACAACCACAATTATGCTTGTTGAATTAAAGTGTTGCTAAACCCACAACAGTAAAAAAAAAGTCTGTATATGCAGTAAAGCATGCTTGTTATACTCACAGTGGAACTTAAGGGGTTAATCCTCTGCACCATGTAAAAAAGGATGTTTGATCCTATCTTCTCTGATCCTCCCCTTCTTCTGCAGTCCCCAATCCATCTGCTGATAGCACAGAGGCTTGGGAGCAAGCTGCACATGCTCAGTTTGGTGTGTATTGCAAGATTTTTCCTTAGGAGAGTGCATGTGATCAGCACAGGGCCAGTCAGCACTGTCCAGACAGTATGTCAGGGGTCCTGTAGGGAGAATGAAAACTCCTCCTACAAGCTGTATCCAGTGCTCTGCTGGACATTGATAGAGGTTATAAGACTGTTATATACTGCTGATGATAAAAGGTATTTAGCAGTATATATTTACTAAAATAATTGCATGTCCATGTTCTGTGTACTGTGGAAGACCAGATAGAGGGAATGTAGGGTCCTGGGTTTAGTAACACTTTAACTTGAAATGTGAATTCTCTTCTTTCCACCATCAGCCTTGCACATGGATAGTGAAAAAAAGAAAACCAAATAGGTAATGCAAGTACAACACAACCAGGCTTCCAGTATTAACATTAATGTGGTTGATGCTGCATTATGGGGATTGGCAAACATTTTAGGAATCCAAAATATTCTGGGAATGAAATTAACATTGATAAAATCAAAACAATAAAGATGACGATGTAGAATTTTATGAACCAATACATCTAAAACAATCATGATAATATTTGCCATGCACTTAAAACGTAGAAGTACTGTGGAGCAAAGAAACACAAATTATGTTTAATATGCCTTCCTAGAAATAGTGAATACAATCTCTTAGCTATAAAAAGGTTGTTGAAAGCCCAGTAGCGAAGGGAATGACTGCACACTATTTTTGCTGATGTATTTTATCAGTTAAGATCTTTTAATAGTTAGATCTGGTGAACAATCATCTGACAGCAGCTTCAGAATAAAATATATTACAGTGAAATGTATAGTCATCCAGATATATATGCTCAATAACCTAATTTTTTCTCTGTCTTCTTGCGGTTTACAGCAGCTGTATAAAGGAGAATATATTCAATAACAGGCTGTTGTCTCTGGAAATCAGGCATTTATTGTTTGTGACAGGTCTATACACAGTTAATCAAATTGCTTTGAGATCTGGAAAAGAACACATTAGCTTGCTGATTAGGTAGAAAGGACACAAGCTACTGCATTTCAAGGACTCCAAAAATGAAATAGTTGCTATTGTCCAAATAATAAAATTGCATAAATGTAATATACTGCATGTACATACTACATATACCAGTTTGCCCTATCAACATAATCTATGATACTAAAACTTTATATTTATAGCAGGGAAGGACCAATCTTGGTCGCCATGGTGACTAGGAAATGCTGTCTGGCAATCTGGTAATTGAAGTCTGTAATTGTGGTCTTATTGACTGTAATTTCATCAGTCACCACTAAGTGGCGTCTGGAGCACAAATGGCCACTGATCAACAGAGCAAGTGCCTTTGTGTTTGTTTGTGTGTGTCTAACCTCCAGGTGATTTACCCCCCCCCCCCCCCCCCTTCCTGACCAGGCCATTTTTTGTGATACGGTACTGCATTATTTTAACTAACAATTGTGCGGTCAAGCAACCCTGTGCATAAATGAAATTTATGTCCATTTTTTTCCCCACACAAATAGAACTTTCTTTCGGTGGCATTTGATCGCCTCTGCGGTTTTTATTTCTTGTGCTATAAACAAAAAAGACCAACAATTTAAAAAAAAAATACATATATTTTTTTACGTTTTGCTATAAAACATATCCGAAAAAAAATGTTTACAGTTTAATTTCTTCATAAATTTAGGCCAAAATGTATTCTGCTACGTCCTTGCTAAAACAAAATATATAAACGTGTAAATTAATTGGTTTACGTGAAAGTTATAGCATCTAAAAATGGCAGTATATATTCTGGAATTCTTATTTTTTATACTAGTAATGACGGCGATCAGCAACTTATAGTGGGACTGCTGCGGGCATTCTGAAACTCGGTGGAACTGACTAACTGCCACTGACCTCCCCAATGACACTAATACAGTGTTCAGTGATAATAAAAAGCAATGACACTGTACTAATGACACTGGGCAGGATGGGGTTAACATCTGGGGTGATCAAAGGGTTAACTGTGTGCTGTTTTTGTTTTACAGCATGTACTGTCTGTGTTTTACATCATGTGCCGTGTGTGTTTTACATCATGTGCCGTGTGTGTTTTACATCATGTGCCGTGTGTGTTTTACATCATGTGCCGTGTGTGTTTTACATCATGTGCCGTGTGTGTTTTACTAGGGAGACATGCTGTGCAGAGAAATACAAAGCAGCATGTTCTTGCCTGCAGGAGAAAGACCCGTGTTGTTCACACACAGCTCTCTCCCCGATCGCCAGGTGTTGGCAGGGAATCTCTGGCTGGGACCCGGTGATAGACATCCCTAGCCACCAATGGCAGCACATGGAATGCAAATCACACACATACAGTATATATATGTGTGTGCTGGAGTCCCAGTGTAAGTCTGTGTGTGCCAGCAGGACAAAGTGAGTCTGTGCCATTTGCCTAGTGTCTTATATGTAAATATGGACCAGTGAAGTGCATAGCTTTAAATGTGTGTGCACAGGAGACACTATGCATCTGTTACATGTGTACATGAAGAGGATACTTTGCATTAGTTACACGACGGTGTACACAGGGTACACCATGCATTAGTTGCATGAGTGTGCATACAGGGGGCACTATGCATCAGTTACACGTGTTTGTGCGCAGGAGACACAATAGGGTTGACTTACTAAAACTGTGCTACAACACACAGCTGCACCAGATTTTGCACTCTCCAGTTTTAGTAAATCAACCCCTATGCATCAGTTACACTTGTTCGCGCACGGGGGACACTATGCATCAGTTACACTTGTTCGCGCACGGGGGACACTATGCATCAGTTACACTTGTTCATGCACGGGGGACACTATGCATCAGTTACACTTGTTCGTGCACGGGGGACACTAAGCATCAGTTACACTTGTTCGCTCACGGGGGACACTATGCATCAGTTACACTTGTTCATGCACGGGGGACACTATGCATCAGTTACACTTGTTCGTGCACGGGGGACACTATGCATCAGTTACACTTGTTCTTGCACGGGGGGACACTATGCATCAGTTACACTTGTTCGTGCACGGGGGGACACTATGCATCAGTTACACTTGTTCGTGCACGGGGGACACTATGCATCAGTTACACTTGTTCGTGCCCGGGGGACACTATGCATCAGTTACACTTGTTCGTGCACGGGGGACACTATGCATCAGTTACACTTGTTCGTGCACGGGGGACACTATGCATCAGTTACACTTGTTCGTGCCGGGGGACACTATGCATCAGTTACACTTGTTCTTGCACGGGGGACACTATGCATCAGTTACACTTGTTCATGCACGGGGGACACTATGCATCAGTTACACTTGTTCGTGCACGGGGGACACTATGCATCAGTTACAATTGTTCTTGCACGGGGGGACACTATGCATCAGTTACTTTGTTCGTGCACGGGGGACACTATGCATCAGTTACACTTGTTCGTGCACGGGGGACACTATGCATCAGTTACACTTGTTCGTTGCACGGGGGACACTATGCATCAGTTACACTTGTTCGTGCACGGGGGACACTATGCATCAGTTACACTTGTTCGTGCACGGGGGACACTATGCATCAGTTACACTTGTTCTTGCACGGGGGGACACTATGCATCAGTTACACTTGTTCGTGCACGGGGGACACTATGCATCAGTTACACTTGTTCGTGCACGGGGGACACTATGCATCAGTTACACTTGTTCGTGCACGGGGGACACTATGCATCAGTTACACTTGTTCGTGCACGGGGGACACTATGCATCAGTTACACTTGTTCGTTCACGGGGGACACTATGCATCAGTTACACTTGTTCGTGCACGGGGGGACACTATGTATCAGTTACACTTGTTCGTGCACGGGGGACACTATGCATCAGTTACACTTGTTCCTGCATGGGGGACACTATGCATCAGTTACACTTGTTGTTCGTGCACGGGGGACACTATGCATCAGTTACACTTGTTCCTGCACATGGGGGGACACTATGCATCAGTTACACTTGTTCGTACGCACGGGGACACTATGCATCAGTTACACTTGTTCGTTGCACGGGGGACACTATGCATTAGTTACACTTGTTCCTGCATGGGGGACACTATGCATCAGTTACACTTGTTCTTGCACGGGGGACACTATGCATCAGTTACACTTGTTTGTGCACGGGGGACACTATGGGGTTTGTTTACTAAAGCTGGAGAGTCCAAAATCAACACCCTATAAACAAATCAGTTAACACAGCTTGTTCAAATGAAGCTTTGGCAATGAAACCTGGCAGCTGATTGGTTTCTATACAGAAGTGAGTCTGATTTTGCACTCTCCAAGCTTTAATTAAATAAACCCCTAATCAGTTAATTGTTCGTGCCACGGGGGACACTATGTATCAGTTACACTTGTTCGTGCACGGGGGGACACTATGTATCAGTTTACACTTGTTCGTGCACACGGGGGACACATGTATCAGTTACACTTGTTCGTGCACGGGGGGACACTATGCATTCAGTTACACTTGTTCGTTGCACGGGGGACACTATGCATCAGTTACACTTGTTCGTGCACGGGGGGGACACTATGCATCAGTTTACACTTGTTCGTGCGCGGGGGACACTATGCAATCAGTTACAAATTGTTTCTTGCATCACTATGCATCAGTTTACATTGTTCTTGCACGGGGGACACTATGCATCAGTTACAATTGTTCACAGCACCAGGGGGGTGTTTAGGCACTATGCATCAGTTACACTTGTTCGTGCACGGGGAACACTATGCATCAATTACACTTGTTCATGCACGGGGAACACATGCATCAATTACACTTGTTCACGCACGGGGAACACTATAATCAGTTACACTTGTTCACGCACGGGGGACACTATGCATCAGTTACACACACTGTATGTGCATGTATGCATAAGACACTTTGCATCAGTTTCATGAGTATGAAAATATATGAATGAACAATCAGCACAGTACTAATAGTGTGAATATAAGAATTTGATAGAAAAAGCAATCCTTGAATGCCGCTAAACACCAATAGTGCTTTCCACCACACTATACGTACTCACAATACCACAATGATGAAGCACAAACAAAATAAATAAGAAATATTTAAAAAGTACAAAAATAAAAAAAAAGTCCAAACTTCCGATGATCAATGGTCCATCACCATTGTGTTACATATGTGAAGATTTTGGGGAGTGTTTATCTACAGTTTAGCTACATCATTGTGATATTTGAGTTACATGTGTTTGTGCACCAGGGACACTATGCATTAGTTACAAATGTGTGTGCATGCATGGGACACTTTGCATCGGGCTACATGAGTATGCACACAAGAGACACAATGCAGTAGGGACATGTGTTTGTGCACAGGGGACACAATGCAGTAGGGACATGTTTTGGCACAGGGGACACAATGCAGTAGGGACATGTGTTTGTGCACAGGGGACACAATGCAGTAGGGACATGTGTTTGTGCACAGGGGACACAATGCAGTAGGGACATGTGGGTTTGTGCACAGGGGACACAATACAGTAGGGACGTGTTTGGGCACAGGGGACACAATGCAGTAGGGACATGTGTTTGTGCGCACAGGGGACACAATGCAGTAGGGACATGTGTTTTGTGCACAGGGGACACAATGCAGTAGGGACATGTGTTTTTGTGCACAGGGGACACAATGCAGTAGGGACATGTGTTTGTGCACAGGGGACACAATGCAGTAGGGACATGTGTTTGTGCACAGGGGACACAATGCAGTAGGGACATGTGTTTGTGCACAGGGGACACAATGCAGTAGGGACATGTGTTTGGGCACAGGGGACACAATGCAGTAGGGACATGTGTTTGTGCACAGGGGACACAATGCAGTAGGGACATGTGTTTGTGCACAGGGGACACAATGCAGTAGGGACATGTGTTTGGGCACAGGGGACACAATGCAGTAGGGACATGTGTTTGTGCACAGGGGACACAATGCAGTAGGGACATGTGTTTTGTGCACAGGGGACACAATGCAGTAGGGACAATGGGACATGTGTTTGGGACAGGGGACACAATGCAGTAGGGACATGTGTTTGTGCACAGGGGACACAATGCAGTAGGGACATGTGTTTGTGCACAGGGGACACAATGCAGTAGGGACATGTGTTTGTGGGCACAGGGGACACAATGCAGTAGGGACATGTGTTTGTGCACAGGGGACACAATGTGTTTGTGCACAGGGGGACACAATGCAGTAGGGACATGTGTTTGTGCACAGGGGACACAATGCACACAATGCACAGGGGACACAATGCATGTAGGGACATGTGTTTGTGCACAGCACAGGGGACACAATGCAGTAGGGACATGTGTTTGTGCACAGGGGACACAATGCAGTAGGGACATGTGTTTGTGCACAGGGGACACACAATGCAGTAGGGACATGTGTTTGGGCACAGGGGACACAATGCAGTAGGGACATGTGTTTGTGCACAGGGGACACAATGCAGGGACATGGGGACACAATGCAGTAGGGACATGTGTTTGTGCACAGGGGACACAATGCAGTAGGGACATGTTTTTGCACAGGGGACACAATGCAGTAGGGACATGTGTTTGGCACAGGGGACACAATGCAGTAGGGACATGTGTTTGTGGCACAGGGGACACAATGCAGTAGGGACATGTGTTTGGCACAGGGGACACAATGCAGTAGGGACATGTTTTTGTGCACAGGGGACACAATGCAGTAGGGACATGTGTTTGGGCACAGGGGACACAATGCAGTAGGGACATGTGTTTGGGCACAGGGGACACAATGCAGTAGGGACATGTGTTTGTGCACAGGGGACACAATGCAGTAGGGACATGTGTTTGTGCACAGGGGACACAATGCAGTAGGGACATGTGTTTGTGCACAGGGGACACAATGCAGTAGGGACATGTGTTTGGGCACAGGGGACACAATGCAGTAGGGACATGTGTTTGAGGCACAGGGGACACAATGCAGTAGGGACATGTGTTTGTGCACAGGGGACACAATGCAGTAGGGACATGTGTTTGTGCACAGGGGACACAATGCAGTAGGGACATGTGTTTGTGCACAGGGGACACAATGCAGTAGGGACATGTGTTTGTGCACAGGGGACACAATGCAGTAGGGACATGTGTTTGTGGCACAGGGGACACAATGCAGTAGGGACATGTGTTTGTGCACAGGGGACACAATGCAGTAGGGACATGTGTTTGGCACAGGGACACAATGCAGTAGGGACATGTGTTTGTGCACAGGGGACACAATGCAGTAGGGACATGTGTTTGTGCACAGGGGACACAA